TCCTCATATAAAAATCCTAGTTGTCTCCTAAATTTATAAAAAATTTTCTTTAATTCTCCTTAGTAATTGCATATATTGAGGAGCTTATCATAAGCAAATAATTTTCTATGCAAATAATTAAAATATGCAAGAAATCAACACCCTTTTTTTTTTAATAATAACGAACTTAACAAATTCTGGAAAAAAAATTTTTGATCTCCATAAATTAATTTTTGTTAATTACAACAGGGGTACTATTATTACTTTTATTAAAATTCATTATTTACTTTGTTATTTCTATAACCATTCCCTTCTTAAAGAAGAAGAAAAAGAGTTGGTAAAAAAAAAAAAGAATTAACTAATATGGGCAAAATGTGACGTGCAAAAAACATTGAAATTAGCAACGAATATAAAATTGGAAGACACGGCATTTGAATGGAATCAATAATTATCCAGAAAATTAGTTGAAACTAGAAAAACATACTATTTTTTATGCATTAATTTATCTTCTCTTAAAATTAGTAATGACACTGCCTGGTGTCATAAGACTCATACCAAAAAATTATGAAATCACAGGGACTAAAACTAACAGTATAAAATTACAAGGATCAAAACTAAAAATCGATAAAACTATATGGATGGATAATCATACCAACCCTTAAAATTATTAACTTTTAAATATTGCACCCCTAACCCAAGGCTCTAACCCCATCATTAAACATGTTACTTGTAAAAATGCTGAAAGTTTATTGACTAAGTGAAAGGAGCTCATGTGCCCATTATACATATAGAAAGTCAAACACATAACATCATATTTAAACAAAACTCGAAAAATGTTAAAAGTGTCAATTGAATCAAACGGCTTAGAAAACTCGCTCAAGATAATGATTTAGCATGAGTAGTGCCATTAATAATAGGCAAACCGTCAATTAGTTTAATTTTTTTAAATAAAATAATTTTATAACCTTAAGATGAGAGTAAGTATTTCAAAATATGAACATATCAGAATGATAGAAAGACATGGAAGCAGCGCAATAAAACGACTAAGTTGATTGCTCTAAAAACACTAAACTAACACTAAACTAATCAAACTAAGCAAATATTTACGAGCAATGTTGGGATTAGTATCATACAAATAGTTTTTTAATTTTTCCAACAAGCATCATACAATTATTAATGCAGGATGTTTCAGCACATTATATTGATGAGCTCAAAAAAATAGTAAATATATTTTTCAACACCAACTATATATTTGTCTAACAATCATGTTTTCAATGAAGTAACTATCTACTACTTCGTACTGTGCTGTGCGTGAGACAATGGTCTGATCAACATTATTCAACATTGATGGCTACTGAATTACTCCTCAGGTCCTATTTATAGGACAAAAAGAGAAGATAAATTTTGGTTCTATTTATAGGATATTGAGAGAAATTTTTTATATAGATATACAATTTTATCCTTTATTTATTATTATATTAACTTTATTTAGATGGGGTATAATGTATATTAAATAAAAATAAAGTTGAAAAATTGTTGAATTTTAAATGAGAGTTAATGAAGTTTAAGATTTTCCTTAGTCTGTGTGAAACATACTAGAAATTACTTATAAATAGGATCAAAGGAGAACATACGCTAAGTATTAATTAATTGCAAATGTCCTATTCATTGGTTCTTCGTTTTTCTGATAACCAATTAATTAATTAATCTTCAACATCAACGAATTTTTATTGTTGTTTTTAACCCTTTTGTCTGGTGAATATGTGTTCTTCTTCCTTCTTCTACGTCTGAGACGATTCTTTCAATTTGCCTCGTTTTTCTGAGGTTTTACATGTGTCTACATATAATGTTCTCACAATTAACAACACTCGTCGGTTTTCACAGTTCACCCGTAACTAAACAGTTTTTTATAGCTCATTCACAACTGCCAACATGGTCCTACTTATAATATTTTATTTATAGCCCATTCACAATTGCCAGCGATCAGTGCTAGAGCTTCAATGGCCAACCCACTAGTAATTGATGCCGGAACTCTGACGACCGTCAACTACTTTTTATCTAGTTGGGTAGTGATTTTTTTTTCGTACTAAAACACTCTTTAGTTTTATTTGTAAAGCAGATAAAATTTATTCATCATGATGTACTATTTTATGTTTTATTTATTATTGAGTGGATTGTTATTTTTTTAAAAGTATATATATTAAATAAAAAAATTGTTTAATTTTAACATATGATTAATGAGGTTTAAACTTTAAAGTTTTTTAAATTTTGGTGAACCATTTTGGGAGTGATTCATAAATGAGATAGAAAATATCTCAAAGATGTTCTTCAACCCCATCTCTATGTTTCAAATTACTTTCCCACTATAAATTGTTAAAAAAATTGATTTAAGGAAAATAAATCAAATGATTCAGGTCAGGTAAAAAAAAATCAAATGATAACATAAGAAATTTTTTTTTACAACTATTACGGAAAGTACTCTTCTGGTCCTATTTATAAGTCACTTCCAATATATATGATACAAATCAAGAAAAACATTAAATTTTATTAACTTTCATTTAAAATTTAACAACTTTTTAACTTTATCCTTATTTAATATACATTGTATTTTATGTAAACAAATTCAATATAATAATAAATGAAGAGTAAAATTACATCTATATAAAAAAAAAATTTCAGTACCTTATAAATAGAACAAAAAATATCATCTTTCTGTCTTAGAACCAGAGGAGGAGTATAGAATTCTTTTACTTCCCCCAACTGGCGCCTTTTTTGCGCCAACTTCCCCAACTTCTATTTGTCTCGTATTCCTTTGATTTTGGATGCGTGATTATCATATTATATGTTGGTAGGGGAATTCAATCGTTTGTTAGACGCTAGTTTCGAAATAAATTAAAGTTTTTGTAATTACATATCTAAAAATATATATAAATATATAAAATTGCAATGTAAGTTCTTGAATTGAAAAAATTGTTATCAAGAACCAAGTCTTAAATATAAATGGGCAAATATCGTATAAAAGACTAAATTACCCTCACGTTTGAAATAAACAAATAAACTATTGAAAATAACAAGTACAATATTCAGAATTACAAGTTAGGTATTATAAATAACAAATTTACAGTTAAAAATAATAAATTCAAATAGGAAGATAATTTAGTCTTTTAAGATCCGGTTCTGGCATTAATTTTTCGAATCCAAAAACTCAAATTGTAATTTTATATTTTTTAGGGTCTTTATTTGTAATTTTTCTATCAGACAATTACCTAACATATAATTTTAAAAAAATTGAAGTAAAGAAATAAATGAATCAGATACACGAAATTTAATTTGATTGATATTATTCTTGTTTTTTCCTTATATGCATTTAGAGAATTCAATCTTCTTTTATATCAAATGAAAATCATTTATCATCCTTCCTTCAATATTTATTGATATAACATCAAAATAGAATTAAATCATTTGTTACTATTTATTGCAGTGATTTTTTTAAAATAAATCAATATTGCAAAATATTAAAACTATAATATGAAATATGGTAGTATGATCGAGACAGAGTAATATGCTAAATTCAATTTACATAAATACATTCATCCTCTGATTTCTTACTCATTGTATAAAGTCTATGACGAGCCATATTTTTCATAATTAACTAGAAATTTTCATATTCTAATATGTCCTTATTAATGTGTAATTATTAGCAAAAACAAACATCTTATGAATGCATTCACATTGTTGGAGAAGCCACCGTCCACCAATAAAACCAAACACTTAAAAGTGTGTGAAAATTTTAATAAATGTTCTCTTTCGATTTTATTTATAAATTATAAATAATTAATTATGTAAAGAAAAAATGGGTTAAAATTAATTAAAATTTAATAAATGTATTTTTAAAATATATTTATTTATGGAGAGGGTGAGTAACTGAGAGAGGAAATGGGTTAACAAGTTAGGAAAATTTGAGTAAGAAAACCAGATAAAAATATATATAATTTAATTGGAAGTAAAATGAAAATAAATAAAATAAATTTTCGAACAAGGGCCATAGCTTATAGCAAAGATGGATCGTATTCGGAAAACGGTAACTTACAGTAATACTCCCTCCGTCTCTCGTTATGAGATCTTTTTAATTAAATTACATAATTTAAAAAAACAGTTAAAACTAATTAAAAGCAATTAATATGTAGTAAATATAATTTGCTTCAAATATACCCCTATATATAAATAGGGAAATGTGAGAGAGTAATAGTGAGATAAATAAAAAAAGAGTGCGTATTAAAATACATTAAAATAGGGATAATATAATTAATAATGCATTAAATGCTTAGACCAATTTAAAGAGGATCTTAAGAGTATCTTATAAAAAGAACAAATTCATTCAAAAAATTAGATCTTATAATAAGAGAAGGAGAGAATAACATATAGGATGAGAGTGGGGAGTAAAAATATATTAATAAACAACTCATTTAATTGAAAAAGAGTGTAAATAATTGGGATTAATTATGCATTTAATATAATAAAATCACAACTGTGAACATAATTCTACCTACACCGTACTGATTACTGAAGTAATGACACTTCAAAAAAAAGAAACAAGATCAACAAAAAAGAAAGAAAAGAAACAGAGAGGCGGGGGGGGGGGGATAAGACAATTTACCTGCCTTTTCAGAGACACACGAGGTTCTATCTATCGGTCAAACATGCTTATAACGACATTCCCAAACTAAACTTCAAAATTACGAAACTAAAGAACATTCACAGAGGTTTCTCCTATCCAACCCCCCTCCCCTCATTAGCCATTTCATCAAATAATTAATCCTGTGATCTTCATCATCATCTTAACTTCGCATCTTCCTCGTTGAAAGGTAGCTGCAATCTGACGTTTCCACCAACACAGCACTCTAAACAACCTTATTTCCTTCTTCCCCTCTGTTTCCCTTAATGTCCATTTCTAGTGTGTCTTCCCTATATAATCCCACACGTATCACCTCACATTCTCATGCACTACCCACTCACTCCTCCTCCTTCTTCGTTATTATTATTTTGTTTTTATTATTCGGTGTTTCTTACCCTGTGTTTGTGTGTGTGGGGCTACTGAGACCTTATCATTTGACTTTTCTTTCTTTCATTTCCCAAGCAGTAAGTTCATCACAGTACTCCTAAACCGAGCTTTCTTCTTCTTCTTCTTCTTTTCCTTGTCATCAATAATCATCATGACTGTGTCGCCTGCCGTCGTCCCCGCCGTTGCTAAGAAGGACCGGGTGCTCATCGTCGGTGCCACCGGTTTCATCGGTCAGTTCGTGGCGGAGGCGAGCCTTGCTGCGGGTTACGCCACCTATTTCCTCGTCCGGCCTGGACCCATGAGCCAGACCAAGTCTGCCGTTGTGAAGGGCCTTCAAGAGAAAGGCGCCATGGTCATTTATGTAAGCACACAAACATAATGTGTACCAAAAACAAGTACACAAACATAATAATAAATAACGTTGCAGACCACCAGAGATTAATTATTTTTTCGAAATATATCTTTGTTTGGTAGCTACGTACTGAAGGCTAATAATCTTTGCTTGATTTACGCGTTTATATGTGTGCGCGCGCAGGGGGCGATAAATGAGCAGGAATTAATAGAGAAGATTCTAAGAGATTATGAGATAAACATTGTGATATCAGCTGTGGGAGCCGGAAACTTGCTGGACCAGCTCGTCTTGGTGGAAGCCATGAAGTCTGTCAAAACCATCAAGGTTAGTTCCATCTTAATTAATTTCCTCTTTCTTAATTACCTAGACCCTCACTATCTAAAGCTACAAGTGGGAATTCACATTGTTGATAACTATTCATAATTAAATTATGAACAGTATGATTTATCTTAGGCTCTGCGAAAATACAGAACTAACTCTAGTAGTCATATTAACGAAAGACCTTTGCAGCCTCATGCCATATGTGAATACTCTTCTATAAATGAGAGCTCACAAGTTTGATTGTGTTTACAATCTCATATTGTTAGGGTCTGCCTCTTTAATTAGGAAAAAAAGATAACTCTAAGTCACAGGGGGTGTTTGGAAACACCCAAAGTATTTTTAAAAAGTATTTTTTCGTAAATCGAACAAACTCCTCTATATATTTGCTTACCGTAAAATCACTTTGAAAACTATGGTTTGGTTGCAACCCAAACACCTTAATAGTTTAATTTCAACAGCACATCATTCTAATTTTAGTCGAATTTTGCATTAATTGTCTTGTCCTAGTTAGTGAGACGTATAGGACTTTTATGGCCATGTATAGTGTATAGCCACCAAACAGCCTGATACAGGAGCTTTAGCAAGTTGGAAGGTTAGATAAAGGTAATTAGTTGTCACTGTGGCCTTAATTTTGACTTATATGCAATTCTTTCTCCTTTTCTCTCTTAGAGTATAAAATATATCATTGCAAGATTTGGTCAGAAAAGTTAGGACTCCAATTTTTAATTAAGCTGGCAGGAAAATTTTAAGTAAATAGTCATAAGGTGTGCTTATTATATTGATTTTCTTTTAATAATTATTACTCAGTCCTTTGATGTAACAAAATTAATCCTTCTGGCAAAAAGAAAAATTAATCCACGTCATTATTTCCATGCATTTTGCTTTGATATATTTCTGATTAAACATGTCATATAATTTAATTCCCTTGAAGAATTACAAAAAAAAATCCATTTATTCCCTCACTAATTAAATACATTTAGTTATTTTCTAAATTTGTCTTAAATTAATTAAATTTGCATCCCTTAATTTTCTTTTTTGTCATATTTCCCTCCCCTAATTTAAAGCAATGTCATCATCACTTTTTTCTTTGAAAAATCTTTCATCTGTATCAGTCTATCTCATAATATTCGTACAAAATTGCGTTTCACTTGGCTTTGAAATTAATTTTCAACGTCAGAGACAGCATTAATTATAAAACTTCCACAGGCGAAGTCGATATTGAGTCACGTGCATTGTACTCCTTCTTGTAGTTATTATAGGACATTTTCTAGAAGTAGCACTACTCTTGTACTGTTTATAAAATAGGAGGAGAAGTTTTATTTATAAATCATTTCATCAATATATATTTTTTGTTAGATATATATATTAAATAGGGTTATATTTTAAAGAAGAGTTATTATAGGTTAAGGTTTTTCTTAATTTATACAAAACATACTAGAAATGCCTTATAAATAGGATCAGAAAACCAGAAAAATACTTTCTGATCTTATTTATAAGGCAAAGAGATTTTTTTGTCTTATTTATAAGTCATTTCATTAAATTTTTACAGTAAATATACTATTTTGTTTTTTATTTGTTATAGTGTAAATAATTACTTTCTTTTAAAAGATGTATTTATTAAATAGAGATAAATTTAAAAAATTATTATATTTTAATATAAAATTAATATATTTTAAGGTTTTTCTTTATTTATATAAAATTCGCTAAAAATATCTTATAAATAGAATAAATGAGTATAAGTCATCACCTAACTCATTAATTGTTACTTTTCCATGTTATCCTTGTTATTAATTAAAGTTTAGTGCTTCATAAGCTCATTGAACACCTTGTTTTTCTATCTCTGTCATTTAAGTTATAGGGATAAGTTTGGAAAAAATTATCAATTTAGAACAAATGTAATGCTTTAACTTTCACTTTTTGACATGTGAGAACTAATTAAAAACGCCTTATTAGCCAAAGGAAGTACTTCTAATTACAGGACAAAGATGACTACTTTCACAGTTTTTCGAGAGGGGCAGCTAATAGTATCCCTAACATGTAGATTAATGACTTTTCAATGTCGTCCTCCTTCATTAAAATTAAGAAGGCATTGAAAAAGGAATTTAACTACCACCAACAACTGATTGGTTGAAATGGTAGTGTTCTTACTCTTATCAGAAGAAAAACACAAATTCAAATATTAGAAAGCATATTTATTGAGAAGATTATTCTTTAACCGTTTCAGATCTAAAAAAAAATTAGTCTTAAATTCCATATGAATTGAAAATATCTTTATTTCACCTAAAAAAAATTAGTCTGAAGTCCTTATTTTTATTTCACATGAACAAAATTTCTCCAAGAACAAGTATTCAAAAGAAACTCAAAATATGAGCACAAAATTCAAAATGATTTTTTTTTTTCTGGGGGCTATTCGCAAGAATCACACGTGACATAAATTAAAATAAAAATTTAATATGGATATTTTGTGATTGGAAAGCGGAGAAGTGGGAGGGAGGCTCTGGGGCAGTCAATGAAGATGACTCAACGCATTAATTGCATGCCGTAGTATATAGTAACAAACATGACATTTTTGTACACGTGGCACAGAGGTTCATGCCATCCGAATTCGGGCACGACGTGGATCGAGCAGACCCGGTGGAGCCGGGTTTAGGGATGTACAAACAAAAGCGGCTGGTGAGACGCAAGGTGGAGAAGGCTGGGGTACCCTACACTTACATCTGCTGCAACTCCATTGCCTCCTGGCCTTACTATGACAACTGCCACCCTTCCAGGAGCCCCCCACCCTTGGATCAGTTGCATATCTACGGTGATGGCACCATCAAAGGTAGCTTTCATTTTCAATATCATAATACATACACGTACATATATTTGTTGAACATTAATTGCAATACCACTACCTTGGAGGGGTACTGGGTCAAAACCAGTTTAGGTTTGGGGCTCAACAAGAGCGCCAAGTAGGAAACTCTGAATTGTTCATATCTGATCGATTTAGATGGTTGATATTTTTTTAACTTTTATTTTTATAAATTATTTTAATGCGAATAAAATTGAAAATAATAATTACTATATCTTAACTATCATATTTAAGTTGTGCACAAATCATCAGTTAAAAATTTTAAATCTATAAATACATAATTACAATTGCATTTATTAGATAATATAGATCTCACGACACCAACAAGTACAGAAAAGTGGTTTTATTACGAGGATTTAAAAGTGTTTGGATAGAAACCAAACTATAATTTTAAAAGTGTTTTTACGATATATGAAATAAATAAATAAAAGAATTTGTCTTGTTTTATAAAAAATTACTTTTTAAAAACATTTTTTGAGTTAGCCAAACACCCCTTAAAATAAGGAGCGTGGGTCCCACACACATGGACACTATTATAAGGGTATGGTATCTTGTCTTGTGGATTAATTACGAGGTGAATAAAACAAGTATACACACACAAGTACAAATGCCAACTAATATGGTATGCAGCCTACTTCGTTGGTGGAGGTGACATTGGGAAATTCACAATGAAAGCTGCAAGTGATGCAAGAACTGTGAATAAGAGCCTCCATTTCCAGCCAGCCACCAATTACTACAACATGAACGAGCTTGCTTCCATGTGGGAAACCAAAGTTGGTCGCTCCATTCCCAGACTCATCATCACTGAGGATCACCTCCTTGCTGTTGCTGCTGGTTCGGCCCCTCCATCATCATATCATTATTCTACTCCTCCATACTCTCTCATCTCTCTCTGTGCGTGTGCGTGTGCGTGTATCGTCAATATATAACCTGAAAGTTTATATATTGCAGAGAACGTTGAGCCAAGGAGCATTGTGGCATCGTTCACACACGACATCTTCATCAAGGGGTGTCAGATGTTCAAGCCAGATGGACCAGGCGATGAGGAGATTGGAACACTGTATCCCGAGGAAAAAGTAAGGAGCTTGGAGGATTGCTTTGAGGATTTTGTTCTGATGATGCCGCAAGCGCCGGAGATGAAGAAGACCACGACGGCGGACCTTAGAGAAAGCAACAATAATAGTACTGATAATGGAGTTGCCAACAGCACTAGCAACAGTAGCGGCGGCGGTAACGACACTGCCGCCACCAAAAACTCGGCTGTGGCAAAGGCGGTGCCCATCACGGCCATGTGTTGAATCATCATAATCAGTTGATCATATCATAAATATTTATGAGTACTATTTGTTTTTTTTCTTTTTAATTTTTACCAATATTGAAGATTTAATCCGTGAGATGGGAGTCTTGTCTATTTAGATGGTGTTTGATGTTGCTGGCACTGTTTGAACAAGAATAAACCCATATAAGTAATTAATATTTTAAGGCTAGCTATTACTGTTTTGTTTCTACCCCTCCACAACCTCTCCCTTCATCAATTGATCCCTGCTCCGTAATAAAACATACATTCAAATTGGTATATGAGCAGTTGTACTCTTCTTGTTCTACCCTTTTTTCTTCTGATTAGAAAGAATCAAGGTAAAATTCCAGAAAAATGATGTTGAATTTCAAAAACTTAAAAAGGTGACTTCAACCTGAAAATTTTCAAATCTAACTAAATTAAAAATTTTAAAATTTTGGTGAATTTACAATTGGGAAAAACTTCTTGTTAATTTACATGTTATTTCATATTATGTATGCGTTAGGCAAAAACATCTTGTTAATCCTAAGTCTAGACTTGTTATTCTCAGATAAATTGTTGTCAATTTTAATGAATGCACATGTTATTTCTTGTTATGTATAAGAAAAAAAAACACTTTGTTAATTTCAAGTTTAAACTTGTCATTTCTCAACCAAGACATGTCATTCCCAGATAAATTGTATCATTTTTAATTAATACACATGTTATTTCCTGTAGTAAGAAAAAACACCTTGTCATTTTCAAATCAAAACTTGTTATTTTCAGATAAATTGTTGTCTCGAGCAAAGAGCCAACTTTTGTTTTTTTGCATTATAATGTTAACAAATCATTGGTGACTCAATTGTCACCTTCCTTTTTCTTTGCTCAAATGACCAAGGGTTAGTGGGATCAAATTCCACCCCCATCACTTTCCTTAAATAATTCCTCACATGGCCCCCAAAAAAAAATTCTGTCACCAAAAAAAACTTTATCGGTAGCCACCACAATAGTGGCTAGTCATAGGCAAGGGCTTGCTGCCAGCGAGGGGTCAAACTTTTTTTTAAAAGAAAATAAAGGGGTATTTTTGTCATTTTATTTGAATTTCAAAATTTTAATTGGGGAATAACTTCTTTCTTTGTCATTTTCAACCCTTAGCTTCCCAAATTAGGATATGCTAATTTCAGGCTTCTTTATCTATCATTTTCCTTTTACAATTCGGCCTTCCACACTTTTCTTTAAAAAAAAAAAATCCAAAGTCACCCTCACCCACTGGTTAGCTACCTGCAACCAGTGCTAGAGCTATAGTGGCCAACTAGTGACCGGCACCTTTTTTTTTATAAATTTTTTCAACATTCATAACATAATTGACAACTTTTATAACATATACACGATTCCATTAACATTATTTATCTTGTGTTTTTTCAGATTTTAAAACTAAAATGCTTTTTAAATATTTGTAAATTATATACTTAATATGCATTTATTTAACTAAATTAAAATATGTATTAAATTAACAATATTAATTTAAAGTGGTTAATGATGTTAATTAACGAAATTCTGATTATTGTTATAAGAGTTGACAACCACATTACAAGTATTGGAAAAAAATTTAGTTTAAAAATCTGGGAAACACATGGTAAATGGTATTAATAAAGTTGAGTCTCGTTAAAATAGTTATCAATTACGTTATGAATGTTTAAAAAATCCCATAAGGTTATGTACTCACTAATTTATCTAGGTTTAAAAAATTATTATATAAAGTGGTTAATAATGTTAATGAAGTTGTGAATGTTGTTGTAAGAGTTGACAACCATATTACAAATATTTTTTTAAAAAAAATATCAATTTAAAAATATGAAAAACACGTGGTCAAGGGTGTTAATGAAGTTGTAAATATTGTTATTATGTGAATTTTATTATAAGAGTTATTGATTATATTATGAATATTAAAAAGATTTCAACAAAATATTGAAGCTCAAGTGGTTGGCCAGCCAATGAGGATGACTTGAGTTTTTTTCCAAAAAAAAGGACAACATTGTAAATTTACTAACATTTTAAATTTTAATTTAGTTATTATGACTAATTTGAAAATTTTCAAATTCAGGCTGCTTTTTGGGATTTTTAAAATTCAACTATTTTTTAATGAAATTTTTTCAAGAATTAATGTCAATATAATATAAAAAATGTACTACTTCCGGTCTTTAATATAAGATCTTGTTTGACTTTTATTTTGGTCCTAATTATAAAACCCCAATCCATTTTGTTTCTCATATTTATGCTTTTTTCCCCCAAGGTAGTCCCTCTAATAATAGTAGTTCTAACCAATAAACTTTATTAGTAAGGATATTTTATGAAAGACAATACTTATTTATTATAAATAACTAACTAAACTTATTTTCTTAATCTTTTCAAATTAGTCAACTGGCTCTTATAATTAGGACCAGAAGTATATAGTATGTTATATAGTAGTATATAAGTCATGGATTATGTTGAATTACGTTTGATGATTTGTTATTATTCTTCTAATATTTATTGATCTTGAGATTACATTTTTTTAATTCATTAAATATTTTTAATGATTTTAATATTAATCTTCACATCACAGTTTTCAAGGTTTTGTTGAGACAACAATTCAAGCAAATTAGTGATCTAATTGGTAGGGGTGTTCATGGGACAGGACGGGTGGAGATGACCCCATCCCAGTCCTGTCCTGATAATTGAAACAGGACGGCTTTTCCGTCTCTTGTCTCATCCTGTCCCCATAGCGTCCTGTCCCACCAATTGGGACAAGACACAACTGGAACGGGAGAAGGATGTCCCATCTCTTTTTTTTTTTTTTAAATTTTTTTAACTTGAAAACTAACAATACGGGAAATGTAAAAAGTTATAATAAAAACTATGTGCGGAAAATATATAAAAATGATGAAACAATGACAAAGAAAAATATTTTTTGTAATCATTAGAGACAAAAAATAAACAAACCACACAAAAATAATAAAATAAACAATTAAAAAAGCACACAAAAATGATATTCACTACAAAGAATATCATGTAATCCACACAAAAACAACTTATAAACAATTAAAAAATAATAATTGATAAATATCATTACCAAAATACTATTACAATGATAAATAAAATAAATATATAAGAACTACAAATAAAAATAATATATTGGGATGGGATTGGGACGGGACACTCCCGTCCCACGTCCTGTCCTGTCTCGAAACAATTTTATCCCGTCTCAAAATGACTGGAATGGGACAATTGAGCACCCCTACTAATTAGAATCAGGACAATCATAATTAAAATAACATAAGTCAAATCAAATACTAAATGTGTCATTTTTTTTTGCAAACAAATAATAAATGTGTTAATTCACAAGTAAACTCGTATAAAAATTGCATATAATCCAACCAAACAAAATTACTGATGAATTGTTATTTTCAAGAAAAATTTTAGAAAAGGAACCATGAAATTATCATTTTCCAATTTAGTTACCTAAAAGTTTGAAATGATAGAAAAAGAAGTAATGCCTAATATGATTTTTTGCAAATATACTTAAATGATTAAAATATACTTATATCATCTATGAAAAAAAAAAGCTATCAAAATTGTCATTATCCATACATTTTTTCTCATTAGCCATTTATCATTTTCAGTTTATAACTTGTTAATAAATAGCTTGTCATAACTAATACATTTTTTATCATTTATTATTCAATACTTGTCATTATCTTTTCAGAACTTTTTAAAAAACTTTTTTGATATAAGGGATTTTAGTTATTTAGCTAGATTTATAAAATACTAGATTAGGCACAACTTCATCTCTTAAAATTTTGAAGTGTTAGGTGTCTTATTTAGAATATTATATTTTTCAGCTTTTTTATTTGTTATTTTTTCTTATTTTTATTTGTTTTTTAACTTAAATGACGTGGCTTCAATAACAAGAGAGGAATAAATAAAATTCAATCTAGTTTACGTGTTCAAAATTCTTGAGTGAAGCCACTAGAATTTTTAAGGGTTCACTCACCTAACCAAACCCGAGTATGCTTTTCTATTATCGGATGTTTTTAGTTTTAAAAGTGTTTTTACGATATACAAAATAAATTTATAAATAAATTTATCTCAATTTATAAAAAAAATATTTTTAAAAAACACTTTTAAAAACACTCAAATATCTCCTGCCTGCGTTGGGCATATGCAGTCAGAGGCATAGCCTCATGAAAACCAGGTTTTGTCTTTTTCAGCAGAAATACCGTATTTCATTAATAAGAAAAAACTCACAAGATGACACCACAACCACTAAAATCCAAATCTGCCTGAAAGAAACCACGTTTTCTCCCCCAAAATAAAAATTAAAAAAAGAGAGTAGACCGATGACTTGACCCAAGTCGTACATGTGGATATATAAATAATTCAGTGTCTGCTTTTTGGTGAAAAGACGTAGCATGTCCCTCTCAAAGACTCCCATCACATGCTCCCTTGCATTACGCGCACCAACAAGTCAACAATTCTCTCTCTCCTCCCCCAACCCCCCTCACAGATGGTTGTACGTGGTGGCACCATGTGATCGAATTCACAAATAGAAATATAAGTATCTATCCATAACCTGATAGTTTGGATAGTAAGCAGTCTTAATTTATAAAAAAAAAAACACATAAAAAAGTTTAAAAATATGAAATACCAATTTAAGAAGCTGAGAAAATATAATTACAGAAAGAAGTCTTTCTCAAATTAGAATTTTGAAATTTAATAAAATAACAAAAATACCTTTTGTTTTTTTTTTTTTTAAAACCTCAGCCCCTCACCTGTAGCAGGCAACCAGTGCCGCCGGTGTGGTGGCTGTCGGTGAATTTTTTTTGTGACACTATTTTCTTTGGAATGGGATAATATTGGTTCAAAGTGACGAGAGTGGGATTTGATCCCACAACCCCTTAGCTACTTGGACCAACAAAAAAGAAGATGGTCATTGGGCTATCAAAAATTTCTTAACCTTATAATGCAAATAAAAATATAAATTGACTCTTTTACTATGACTCCAGCCTATAACAATAATTTACCTAAGGATGACAAGTCTTACTTGAGAAATAATCTAAATTTGATGTTAACAAAGCAACTTTTTCTTATATATAACAAGTAGTAGCATGTACGTTAATTAAAAATGACACGTCTTTATTGGAAAATGACAAGTCTAAACTTGATATTAACAAAGCAACTTTTCCTTATACATAACAAGAAATAGCATGTACGTTAATTAAAAATGACCATAATTTATTTGAAAATAACACTTCTTTACTGG